AAAGGGTGAAGTGGTGCACCTACAACATGACTAACAATAATGTACAACTGAAATTTCACAAGGTTGTAAACTATCATAATCTTAATAAAAAGTAAAAAAATAACAAAATGAACATTCTACACATCAAAAAATTAATTAATTAATTAATTAAATTAACTCAAAGCGTGTCTCCTGACTATAATGAAATTAAGCTAGTAACCAACAACAGAAAGGTAACTGGAAAAATTCCAAATTTGGGAAATTAAACAACACACTTTTAACTGAAAGGAGATTAAAGGTATATAATAGAAAATATTTTTAATTAAAAATTGAAACGTAGTATAACAAAATTTGTGGCATATAGCTAAAGCAATGCTTAGAGGACATATATAACATTAATCCCAGTCAAAATATCATCAAGCATTTTCTTTTAGAAATCATTAAGCCAGGGCCAGCCCTGTGGCTGAACGGTTAACTTTGTGCACTTCACTTCAGTGGCCCAGTGTTCATTGGTTCGGATCCTGGGTGTGGACCTACACACAGCTCATCAGGCCATGCCGTGGCAGCATCCAACACAGAAGAACTAGAATGACCTACAACTAGGATATACAACTACGTACTAGGGCTTTGAGATTTAAAAAAAGAGGAAGAATGGCCACATATGTTAGCTCAGGGCCAATCTTCCTCTCCAAAAAAAGCATACCTTTAAAAAAAAAAAGAATCATTAAGCTGATTTGAAAATCTTCATGGGAATGCAAAGAACCAAGAATATTCAAAACAACTTTGAGAAAGAACAAAGTTGAAAGACTCACGCTACCTAATTTCAAGATTTACTCTAAGTCTACTGTAATCAAGGTAATGTGGTATTAGCATAATGATAGACATACAGGTCAATGGAAGAAAAGGAAGAGTCCCGAAATAGACCTACATCAATATGGTCAATTGATCTTAGACAAAGGTGCCAAGGTAATTCAAAGGAGAAGGGATAGTCTTTTCAACAAATGGTACTAGAATAATTGGACATTCATAGGCAGAAAAAAAAAGACCACAGACCCACACATAATTAACCATATTTGAAGGAACTGTACGCCTAAAAAGCACTTTACTGTATGTCAATGATGACTTAATAAATTTGATTTTTTAAAAACTGAAAGTAATCTAAATAACTGTACAGAACTTGTTAAATAAATTTGGTAGCTTATATAATGCACCATAATGCAACCAATAAGATGTGGTAACGCAGAACTACAGTTGGAAAGATATCCATGATGCATTATATTAAAAAGCAGGTTATATTTTTTACGATATGCAAATGTACACATATTTATATCTATATACACACATACATACACATCATGACCTACTTCTGCTTTTAAAAGCCTAAAAAGATACACCTGAAAATGTAAACAAGCTATATCTCTGCATCATAGAACGGGATTGCTAGTGATGTCTACTTTTGCCAGTATTTTATACTTTTTCCAAATTGAATATGTATTTTACTCAGATAATTAAAACATAAAAACAAACATTCCAGACAACACCAACCTAAAAAATTACGGGATTTATTAGGAAAAAAGCTGAACAGTGGAAAAGGGGAAAGACTGAGAAAGAGCGCAGTGCGTGTGTGTGTGTGTGTGTGTGTAAAATGAAAGGGGTGGTGAAGGAGTCCCTTCCAGCCTTAAGTTCTGTGAATAAGAGGGAGGCCAGATACTGGAGCCATTGTGACCCTGGTCAGCCTGACAGGAAAGGAGCCACTAAACTGAAGGCACGTTGAGGGCAGGAACCAGGTCTATCTTTTCCCATGTTATATAATCAGCACCTAATTACAGGGCTTAGCAGTCAGAAAATATTTTTTGAAAAAAGGAAGGAAGGGGTGGGGTTGGGGGTTGTGATGTGCCGGCCAATAATGGGGCAAGGGAAAGAGACATGGAGGTATGGAAAGAGTAGAGGAAGGAGATGAGAATCCGAGAGAGGAGAGAGCATCTATCTGTGGGTTAAACTGCTGAAACACCAACACCTGTAGCTCAGTAGGAGCTGGTTTCAGGGCTTGGACAGTGCTAGGAAAAATGGCCCAGTCCTTTGAGGCTACAGGAGTATAGAAAAGGGCGAAATGAACAACTGAACAGAGCAAGGAAGGGCCAAGTCTCTAAAACCTTCTAGAGAAACATGTTTCACTGCAGCATACAAAATCTACTCGAGCATTTTGTTTGAAGAAAGACAAGGAGAGGCACGGGTCCCCAGAGCCCTGGTATCCATACAGGAGCCTGTCACCTGGAAAGGAAGAAAGACAAGAAATTTGTGGCCTCCAAGTTCAAGTGCTTGCGACATAAGAGGTGAGCAATAAATATTTGTTGAAAGAATGAGTGATTCAACAAATAAGGAGAAACAGCACACTGTCCTGAGGAGTCAGACTTCCAGGTAGGAAGGGACATCAGTCACCCTGTGATGATTAAGATAGGCCCCTGGTGGACCATTCTCCACTAACCCTAATCTTGCCTGCACAAGGCCTGTAGTTCCCAAAAGCACTACCACAAACAAGCTCAGGTGGAGTTTCTATGGTCCAATTCCTGTCATCCCTGAGCATGTATAGGGACTACCCAAGGACCCACAGACCCTTCAACAAGCATTTTTCTCCTGATAGATCTATGGGTCTGGTCAACTGCCAGTGGCAATCCAGCACCAGATCTAGAGGATACTTTCCCAACTTTTTAGGGAAAAAATACCCCTCCCACACTCTCTGCTTCTGCCCCCAGGGCTCCTGAGAGAGCTACCTCCTTCAAGATCAGGCAAAGGTCACCCCAAGAGACTTCTCTGATCCCACCTACCTTCATAGACCTTCCTCAGAAAGCACTGTTGACTGTCTTCAGTCTGGCAGAGCTTTCTCCACTCTCGCAAACCCTGCCGGCATTGACTGGATCACAATGGAAGCATTGTAGAGCCAGAAAGTCAAAACCAGCATAATGAGGCTCTTCTGGCCCCGCTCCCCCGCTGGTCAGGGGAGGGAGCACACCCTCTGGCCCACACTAAGCCTGCACAATGACCAGTTCCCACCGCCTGCTGAATGTGCTGAAAGCAGTCATTTCTCAGTGGTTGGCTTCTATCTGGGAGGAGGCCTGCAGGCCTTGGAGAGCTGGGTCTGTGCCCAAGTACAGACAGAATCTCCCTCCGCTCCCGGGGATGAACAGTGGAAAAGAGGAAGAAGGTCAAGGGCTGCACTGCTCCGCCTGACCCTACCCATATGGACCATGATCACTCCTCTCAGTCTTTTCAGTAGCAGCCTACAGACAAGGAATCTTCTTTGCTCCCTTTCAGCTCAAATTCAGGGATCTTAGCAGGTAAAGCTCGAAGAATTGGGGAGTATCAGGGATTAGAACTCAGGTGGAAGAGAGATGGAGGCTGAAGTAAAATGGAGAAGGGAGGAAGATGAAAAGGAAGAGGCACAGAGTGGGACCAAAAATGGAGGAAGCAAGGAAAGAGGAGGCAGAGGGAAAGGAAAAAGAGTGGAGCGAGAATGAAGGCTGTGATCACCTCTAAGGGTAAAGTTAGGTCCTTGTGCCTTGTGCCTCGCCTCCCCATGGCTCATCAATCCACAGCCCCATGTGGGTCTGCTTACCTAGACCCAGTCCCCACGGTCCTCCCAGACGATCCACAGGGGCTCACTGTGCAGGAAGCCCAACAGCATGGAGAGGCCCAGCAGCAGCGGCAGGAAGCGCATACCCATCCCAGACCCAAGATCAGGAGGTAGCGGAAGGCAGGACAGAGCTGCAGGCGCCGAGACCCTCAGAATCTGGCTTTATAACCCTGGCCAGGAGGGGTAGTCAATGGGAGCTGAGGCAAGGGCTGCATGTCCGCAGGAGGGTGAGTGGATAGGGAGCCTGATGGTAGCCCACGGTGCCTGCCAGCTTCCCAGGCTCTGCTCGCCTCCTCTGCCCTGACCCCTCTGCCCTGACCGAGGGAGCCGCGTTCTTTCCATGGCTTCTTTGGTCTCATTTTTCCTAGCTTTAAAATGGAGAATCATGTCTGCCTTACTCAGCCAAAGGATTTTTGAGATTCCGGTGAGCTGATGAACCTGGAGAGGTGGGGCACACTAGCCATGACCTACTTAAGGGGCCTACTTCCCTGAACATGGAGTTCTTGCAGTCTCCTGATTTCATGGAAACAGATATAGGCCTAAACTCTTGCTAAATAAGGTGCTAAACTGAAAATAGCAGATTTAGGTTTATCTTCCAGGCAGGCTGCATTCTAGACTAGATAAAGATTTTTATTTGTTGATATGCTCGATGAATGTAATTTTAAAACACTGATCTGGAGAAAAAGTTTTGTAGCTTTGGCATCTGGCTTCTGCAGCCTGAGGCACACCCCAGAACCTGGGTCCACCCTTACCCAAACACCAGACTTCAAGAGTGAACATATCCCCTCCCTTTCTGCAGTAATTTTCCCTCCCAGCTGAAGAACAGGGAACCCACGGAAATGAGGGCTTACTCCATAGGGGTATAATTATTCCCCAGCCCAGCTCTGAAATCGAGGAGGTTGTGTCACCTACCCCATTCCAAAACAACATATAACATTGATTGAGAGCTTGCTACATGCCAGACATACTGCTAAATACTTGAACAATATGATTTCACTTGATTCTCACACAACAGCCTACATGGTAGTTATTAATATCTCCCTTTTGTGATGGCAAAATTAAAAGAAAGAAACTGGTCGCAGGTGACAAAGAGGACAACTGGATTCAAACCCAGATCTGCAGACTCCATTGACCGTGTTGCTCTGCCAAGGAAACCCAAGACTTGATGGGTCCCAAGAGCTTCCAACTGGCGTCTGAGGACCAGAGGATGGGATTCCTGCAGCCAGAGACGGCTCCTTTAGACACAGAAGGGCCCTAGCACCAGCTGCATGTCACGAACAAGAATGGACATATCACAGCAGCCGGCCCGCGGCCGAGTGGTTAAGTTCACACACTCCGCTTCGGTGGCCGGGGTTTTACTGGTTCAGATCCTGGGCACGGACATGGCACCACTCGTCAGGCCATGCTGAGGCAGCGTCCCACAGAACACAACCGGAAGGACCTACAACTAGACTATACAACTATGTACTGGGGAGCTTTGGGGAGAAGAAGAAAAAAAAAAGGAATGGACATATCACAGTAGAAATAATTACCTATAATCCACTAAGAATAAGGTTTTTACAAAATGGTTCTTCTGGGACTCCCATTTAGTCCTAACCCTAGAATGCTCTGGAGGGGGAGGGGGAGTGGGCCCTGCTACTTAGCCCAGCCCCAGGGGATTCTTCTCTCTCAACTCCTTAGAGCTTCTCCCAGATCCTCTTGCCGGAGGGCCCAGTTGTCCATCTGCCTGAGGCCAAGGACTGCCACTCACTCCTGTTCACAGTCCTTCCTGCAGTGAACAGACAGACAAGACCCATTTTAGCCTGTGAGGTGCTGAGGGACTCAACATTCTGCATTGTGCATGAATTGGCGGTGGGGGCAGATAACGTCAGAATCTTAGGGTGGGAGACCATGCATCATTTTAATAAACATATTAACATAGTTACTACAATACACTTGAAAAAAAGAAAATAGTACTTAATTGTTTTCTTAGTTCAGTCTACACAAAGCTTGACAAAATCATCTCAGCACATGGAGGTATCAGAAAGCAGTCAACCCCCTGCTCAGCCACCGTCAACGTTAAAGGGTATAGTTGTACAACCTAAGTTTTATATATGTTTACCAAAAAATACTATGCATCTTTTTAAAGATTAAGCAACCCTGCTCTGATTCTATCAGTGAGAGGCGAGGAAGAAGCAGTGAAGGCAGGAATTCAGTCCTTCCCAGGCTGATGCAGGGGTCAGCTCAGACACTGCAGGAGAGACTCATCAAGGAAGAAGCTTGGTATTTAGCCCCGATCCCAGCAGACAGTGTCTCCTCAGATCCCCCCACGCCCGATGTGGCCTGCAGCCCCGGCAATAACTCCCGCACCCCCACCCCGGACCAGGATTCCTTGCTGATGCCCATGAAATCCTGCCTCACGTCTTCTCCCTTTCCTGAGTGCAGGGAACCAAATAACTTGGGATCCTCCCAGCCAGCCCTGTGTTGCCCGTAAAAGTTCTCCACAATCTTCTTCTCTGTTATATGACATAAACATAAGAACTGCTTGTACCGAGGCAACTTAGTAAATATAAGCAAAATGTAGTAAAATATTTAGTTTGTGTACTGTTTGCTAGTTCTCCTCCCTGCTCTCTCTTACAAGAAGGTAGCCTGGTTCCCTGGCAGAGGCCCCAGGAGTGAAAGGAGGAATGGCTCTGGATGCACCCAGTGAAAGGAGAGTCATGGGCATCAGGGTTCCAGCCTCTGGAAACATTCCAGGGCAAGACCTAAGCTTGGCACGAGGGAGCAGAATGCCAGGGCTTCAGAGGAGTGCAGGCCTTTATATGAAGGTTACTGATAACCTTCATCAGTAACCAGGGGGGACAAAAGACTAGATACATTGGTCCCAACTGTTAGTGCGAATTATCATTCCTCATCTGGCTTCAAACACCGCAGAACCCCTGGCTTTTAGTTTTAAAAACCCTTATCAGTTATCCTGTCAGATAGGATTTCCTATTCTGAAGAAGTTTTCAAGCTCTCAGTGTTGGTCATCAGTGAGAAGTTGGTCATCAACTTTCCCAGGTGACAAGTACATGGGTTTAGCCCAGTGGTGTGCTGGTAAATGTTTAACAACTGGCTTGTGGAGTGAGGGAGGGTAGGCAGAGTCCTGATTTGTAGCATTTGCAGATTTCTGTGGTGTAAATGGCAATTTCAAGCTACCACCTGACATCACTGAATGGGGAGGAGAGAAGAGATGTGCGCCCCATTATACTTCAGTATTTCCAGCATACAGATATGAGACCTAAATAACCTTGAAAGTGCAGACAATAGTAAGACATAGTAAAATAATTAAGAAGTGGTGAGGTTTTGAGTATTTATTTTTGTTTCTAATATAATTTGTCAGTTTCTATGTTAATTTTTAATATCTGTGTTCAACAACCAGCTTGTAAAATTCCTGAAACTTTAACAATGAACTCTCATTAACCAGTTCAAGTGAGCTCTCGGCATACCACCAGTTGAGTCACAGTTATGAAAAGCTGGTCGGGTGAAAGGTAGAAATTGCTGTATCCCTTTACTCACACAATTCCCAGTGATAATGTCACCCATCCTGTCCCTGACTGACTTGCTATGTCACAGAAGGGGCACATCTATATGGACAGGCAAACAGAAAATTTCCCACCTTTCAACAGGCCTCTCCTTTTCTGGTTCATGGAGCCTGACAGTGGAGATGCATTGTCGTGAAAGGACTGTGCAGAGCTGTCTAACCAGCTGTTTTCATGCTATGCTGTTGGCAGGAATGTAAAGCTGGGGAAGCTGAAGCTGGAGAAGCCCTGTGATCTTGAGATCTGTATTTGGAGTTTCTACAGAAGATTAAGAGGAATTTTATTACTCAGGATTTTAGTTTTAGAAGTCAGTTTTGGCAACAGAAAAAAGGAAAGTTCTGATAAGGACAAAAGAGACTAAAAGGAAGCTGTTTCAGTGGTCCAGGGAAACAAGATGAGAGGCTGAACTGGGGTTGTGTCAGTGGGAATAGAGAGGAGCTGATAAGTTGAAGAACTACTCAGAGGTAAAACTGATATAATGTGTGAAGTGAGGACAAGGGAGAAGTCAATTACTGAGCTAAAAGTCTCAGAAACAGGGTTGGGGTGCAAATGATGAATTCAGTATTACAAATGTTGAGTTTGAGATGTTCCAGGATATCCAGATAGAAATGTCCATCTTGTAGTTAGCTATATGGGTCTGAACAAGAAGAGAGGTATCTGTGGGTCAGATTGGTAGATTTGGGGAGTGTTCAATTTGTAGGCAGTGATTGACATGGATAAGACTTCTCAGAGAGTGTGTGAAGAGTTAGGAATTACTTCTCCTCATGAAGATGAAATGGAGAAGTACAATTTCAGGAAAAGTGGGGGAGGGAACCACGAAAATTCAGAGAGCATTGCATATTCAGAGGATAGCTAGAAGTTGTGTATGGATGTGGCTTGAGATGGAGCTTGGGATGAAGATAGAGGAAGGGAAGGGGAGGAGCAGAAAGACGAGACTGAGGAAGTACACGTGGGGACAGATTTCAAAAGGTTTTGATGCCTTTCATTGGCAGTAGCACTGCACAGATGAAGCAGCACGCCTTCCAATTTTACCGCACTGCCCCCGACATTTGGGGAGCTTCAGAGTGGTTACCATAGCTGTGACCCTTTCCTAGGCTTATCAACATAGATCACCATGCTGGGTGACACATAGACTCTCCACTCTGGCCGCCGTGAATTGTGTAAAAGTCCTGCAGGTAGCCTGATGTTAGAATTTTGTGTAAACAGCATGACAGTGAGAGGTTAAACCATTAAGATTCCCTCTCTTGAAAACTGAATGTGAGGAGAGGCAAAAGTGCATATTAGGGCCACAAGGTAGACAAAGGCAAATCTCAGGAGAGGCTGGGAGGTAAGCATACGTTGTGAATAAACAGAAGTCATGAGTAGGCAGCAATAATGAACATTCAGAAACTATGAGTAAGCAAAAGTTATGAATCAGTAGGAGTTATGAATAAGCAGAAGTCACAAATTAGAAAGAATATAGAAAAGTGAGTTTAGAACAAGAGCAGTAGGAATATATGCAGGAAGAATAGAAGAAACTAAGGCCTATAAGGTAACTGTTACTAGAACTGCTGTGTACCCAGAAACACCTTTCAAGTCACAGGTTATCTTCAGGTCTCCGTGAGGCCCAGGGTGGGTGGTGTGTATTCCTACATGTATATCTATGTAATTCCCTGTTATTTAAGGTAAACTGAATGAGGCGGTATCTCTCATCTCTTCTGTGTTCTTTCCTGTTACTCTCTCCTGGACTTCTCAGCTTGCTCATCCTCTGTTTGGCCCCAAATAGTAGCCTCATGACCACTCAGCACATGAGTCTAAATGAGCTTAACATAGCTCTCCATAGCTAATTGTTTCTGTCTTTCTGTGTTCCAGCTGCAAATTCCTGAGATAAGACCCTGTTTGGCTTTGCTCATCTTTTTGAACCAGGCAACAAATATTACGGGGGCTGAGCTGGCTGATTCTTTGGCTCATTTAGGGACCTTAGAAACTGGAACATCAGCTCATCTAAAAGAGATTGGCAGAGGAAGGAGGCAGGGACTGGAACAACTCTGGATGTCTTAACTCCAGAACTCTTCAAGTTGCACAGTGAATTCTCCCTCACCACGTGTTTTTTAATATGGTGTGCTCAAATATTCACAGGTTTGGCTTTGAAGCGCCAGAGTGCTGGATCCAGGGAGCAGGTTTCCAAAGTATGGCCCAGGGAAAGCCAGCCTGGGCAGGATTGGGACAGTCCTGTAAAGCCAACCTTAAGAAAAGAGGGAGGAAAAAGTTGGAGAATTAGGTTTAAGGAAAGAACGTTCAGGCTTTACGTTCCTGTCTTTCAATACTGTGACTCCTGGAGAGGGGTGAGGCAGGGATGTCCCAGAAAGTTTTGATAATTGCAAAGAGGAGTGCCGCTAAACTTTAAACAACTGGTGGGTAGAATAGACAGCACCTCTTCCTTTCCACTAATTCCCACTGTTTCTATAAACAAAAGTCTGACTCAGTATGATCCCATAGCTATTTCTCCAAACTCACTCCACATGAAGGAAAGGAACTATTGACAGCATGCTCTTTCATGCCTTTCTCTACTCCAGAGGAGCCCAGCCTCAAACCTAGAAGTTCTAATTTTGTCCTCCAACTCAAGCCAAGTAGGGTAGGCTTCCCTCTTCAATTTTTGACCCCTGGTGAAATCTCTCTAGGTTTTTCTCCATGAGGCAAAGAAAGACCCAGAAAAAGACAATTCATTCATTCGTTCAGGAACCATCTATTAAGTACCTATTATGTGGCAAAGTCACTGGTGGTCTAGTGGTTAAGATTTGGCACTCTCATCATTGTGGCCCAGGTTCATTTCCCAGTCAGAAAACCATTCTACCTGCCTGTCAGTTGTCAGACTGTGGCAGCTGCATGTTGCTGTGATGCTGAAAGCTGTGCCACCAGCATTTCAAATACCAGCAGGGTCATCCATGGTGGACAGGTTTCAGCAGAGCTTCCATACTAAGACAGACTAGAAAGAAGGACCTGGCCAGCAACTTTCGAAAAAACTGGCCATGAAAACCCCGTGAACAGCAGTGGAGCATTGTCCGATACAATGCTGAGAGATGAAAGGATGGTGGAAGACCAGGCTGGGTTCCAATCTGCTGTACACAGGTTGCTAGGAGTCAGAATGGACTAGATGGCACTAACAGCAACAAATTTTGTGGCAAACTGCTGTAGGTACTGGGGATACAACAGTGATCAAGACAGACAAGGACCCTGCTTTCAAGGAGCTTAGAATCCAGTGGGGGAGACAAACATTAAACAAATAATTATGAGTGATAAATACATCTATTCTAGATCCAGCATTCACTGGTACGTGTAACAAAGTGGTCCAAGAGAGGTGGGCAGGGGAGAAGTAGGAGATAAGGGCTGGGAGATCTCTGCTACCCAATCTCCAAAAGTTCTAGCTTTATGCCTGGTGGATGCTTCACCACATCCATCTTCTCAGCTTGGTTACCCCTTTGATAGAAGTTTCAGCTCAAGGCACAGCTTTCAACTATCCCTTGTTGATCCCTTTTCTGTACCCATATCATGTAAATTCTCCCTAGTTACCCATTTGAGTTTGCCTTCTGTTTCCTGCCAAAGCCATGATTGATACAGGCCTTAACGAAAAGATCATTTACTGAAGTGGGCACGGTTAAGGGAACAAAAAGAAGGAAAGTTGGGGCATCTAGGTTTTAGCAACAGCAAGAAACCATCATCATCCCTAGGCCTAAGGAAGCAGGGGAAGGAATATATGTTACCATAGCTTGGTTGAGAGCTAGAATCATGGAAGAGAGGGCACCCAACAGAAGCTTTGTCATGTAAAGACCCAGCCAGTGTCAGAACTGTGGCAGGAAGGGAATGGGAAGAATAAATATTTCAATTTTAGTGTCACTCTCTCTCTGAATCTGTTTCCCTCCTCCAGTCATCCATTGGCTAAACCCAATCTGAAGCCAAACCCAACCATCACTTAGGCGATCAAGTCAATGGAGGTAAGCCTTCTGGGGTACAGAGCCAAAACAAGGCTGATTTAGAGAGCCAAACAGAAAACAACCAGCCAATCACACCTCACTGTCAAGAACACTTTAAAAGGAGAGTAGATATCTTTTAAAATTTATTATAAAGAGTATATGTTATTTTGGTAATAAGATATTTTTTTTTTTTAAGATAGGGCAGAATGCCCCACACACAACCTTACACATGGAAAATTAGCCTTCACTGGTACAATTTGCTATGGGTTGTCAGAGGGCCAACCCACCTAAAAGGCTTCATGAGAACCTCAGAGCACAACCCATTGTGAGGTAACATGGGTTGTTTCTGAGGTTCTAGAATTCCCAGAAGCTGTAACTCAGCATTGAGAGCTTCTTCTCACAGTTTTTCTCCACAGCTCTTGGGTGCCCCACACAACGGTCCCCTCCTTCCCAAAATCCAGATGAAGAAGTTTCTCTTACTAATGAGCCTTTATCTGCTTGGATATGCCAGAGGTGAGTCCTCCACCTGGGCTTTGGGTGGATATGTAAGAGACCTCTTTAAAGTGTTTCAGCCCTTGAAGAAGAAAGACCAATATCTTGGTTACCCGAATCAATCTGACTCAGAAACAAGCTCAACTCTGAGAGCTCCTGAACCAGTTGATTCCTCCTAGTTATGGCTTTACCATCAGCGGGGTCCACTGGTCTGGCACAGTCTCATTCCTACTTCTTTCAGCCACTCAATATTTGTACCCAATGCTCTGTGAAATGAGGAGATAGGTCTAGGTGTGCTGCAGAAGTCCAATGAAGGTTTGTCACAATGAACTGAGTATGAGGGATCTTTGTGTAGTTAATGTGCCAAAGAAAGACATAAGGAGATGGGAATGTGATGTGCGCAGAAAGCCGTCTCACAACACAGCAGGACTATGGGCCAGAGACCTTACAAGTCTCTCCTTCATGGCTATGTTCTATGCATCCAGGTGTCTGTATTTCCCCTTTCAAGATCCGCATTCATAGTGAGCTGTATTCCCTCCATCCTCCTACTGGAGAAGAGAGAGGCCATGAGCTCTGAGCTGTCGGTTAAATGACAGTGTTTTCTGCACTGTCAGTTATCAAAGATTTTGTTTTTTGCTTCCTTAGACTTTCAAAAGTTGACTCAGAAATGTAGATACATAGCTACCAGATGTGCCAGCCACATGGTGAAGCAGTGAGTCATAAACTTTAAGAATGACTAAGAAATTAGTGTGCTTTTTCAACCCTCCTTTCTATATCAGAAATATCTCTTTATTAAAACTTCCAGTAACTATTGAAGAATCAGTCAAGCAGATAATATTTCTATAACAACTTTTTAAAATAAAAACCTCTTAAAAGCCTTACTAAATCTTACCTTTCCTTTGTCAGCATATTCTAATCCTAGTCTTTCAGAAAGTCATTGATTATAACAACTGCAGATTACCCAGAATATATATATTCTATTGCACGAATCTTACAGAGCTAGAGTACTTTGAAGCCTTAGGCTATCTCAGCCTCAAAGATCCTATAATTCCTCTAAGCTTGTGGCTAGGATGAATAACTCAGTCATCATACTCTACTTGCCCTCGTCTAGGCTACTCAGTCTAATCAAAGAGTAATAATCAAATTGTCTGTTTGATGTTACAGTCAATAAAATGAAAGTCGTACTTAAGGAACACTTGTTTGACAGTCACTGATGAGATGGATTAAAGGTAGAAGATACCAGCCAGAGAGAATGACCAGCTAAGAGTTTTGTAATTCCTAGTATAATGTGGGGAGGAGAGAAACTAAAATTAATTAAGCACTTAGGCAATGGACTAGGCACGTCACAATGTATCTCATTGAACACTCATGACAACTCCATGAAGTGCGTGTAAATGGCATGTCACAAGGAATCTCAATTCAGAGATATATAAGCAAAGAAAGTCTTTATCTTAATAATTGATAGCAGCTTTGCTTTGAGTCCACAACCCACATGGATTGGGGATTGAGTGTGGGCAAGAACTTGAACTTGCCAAATAAAGGTGTCTTAATCCTTTCTGATAATTTTTGTGTGTTCATTAGATATTTGTCATCTCTAGTTTAAAATATATCTTGTCCAAAGGTTAAAATCTTCCAACCTCAATTTTGGCCAGAATTACTCATCTATTGAAAATGGCTTGCTTTCTCTCTCCCACTTGTATCTCCATTCTTCCTGCCTTTCACACATAAAGGACCTGGAGGGAAGGCTGGTGGTGGACTTCTGATTACATGAGTGATGATACATTGATTTCCTGATGCTGGCTCTGTCAGGGAGGCACATTAATTTCTCCTCAGGTGATTTTGGGACATAGGTGAGCCACCCCTTACCTATGCATTTGTTAATATTGTAGGTCTTAAAATACTTCCTTCAATCCCAGATGTGGTATCTGTGTTTCATTAACATCTCTGTCCTTCATTGTCTCTTGGGTAATTAGTTGACTTCCTCCAACATCTACAATATCTTCAGGTGCCTGATCTAGGCCCACAGGAAACCCAGGAATCCCACAACATTAGCCTGACTTCACAGGGAAGTAGTCTTTACCTCAGACATCTTTCTCTCACTTTCACCATCTCTCTTCTGCTACTTCTCCATGCCAGGAGCATCAGGTCAGTCTGATGAGTCTCCTGGTCCATGGATCATCAAGCTTCAGTGTGGTAATTTTCAGGTGAGTACTTTTCACTTGCAAACCCTTCAGATGGTGAATCTTTATACGAGACTTCTTCAGGCGAGAACACTTTAAGTGAGCATGCTTCAGGCAAGCACGCATCGGTTGAACACACTTCGAGTGAGCACACTGCAAGTGAGCACGCTGTGAGTGAGCATACTGCGGGTGAGCATGCTGCAGGTGAGCACACTGTGGCTGAACATGCTTCAGGTGAGCAGGATGCAGGTGAACACGCTGCAATTGAACACGCTTCAGGTGAGCACGCTGCCGGTGAGCAGGTTTCTGGTGAACAACCTTCAGGTGAACAGCCTTTGGGTGAACAGCCTTCTGGTGAACAGTCTTCAGTTGAACAAGCTTCAGGTGAACTGTCTTCAAGTGAACAGCCTTCAGGTGAACAGGCTTCAGTTGAACAGCCTTCAGGTGAAAAGCCACTGGGTGAACAGCCTTCAGGCAGTCCATCAACAAGCACATTTTCAGGTGAACCACATTTGGATGGATGCTAGTCCTTGACTTCAGGTGGGAAGTAGGCGACACTTCAAGGAACCCAATTTTAAGCAAATAACATAGAGGAAAGAATAGTTCACAAACAGCTCCCCCAAAGACTCTCTTTATAATAATACCGAGAGGTAGGATTCAGGTTTTGTGGGCTCCTGAAAGCTAAACAATTTGGAGGGCCCTCCTTAAGAAAAATAACACAAATACAAAATGCTAGCAGTCCAAGCAACTTCACTCTACATGAGAAATTTTGTGTACAAATGCCCACAGCTCCCCTGGAAGGAGCTCATATAAGGCTAACCTTCATGAGCTTCATACTAAATCTGCCTCTTAACAAACTATGTTAGAATGCTTTGCAAACCCCTAGAGATGTCTAGCACTGGAGCCGGTGGCTCCTTGGTTTTTTTGTTGTTTGAACACAGAAAGTAAAACACGCAGACACTTTTGTCTGTTAGCTATCGAAATAAGCTCCCAAGACAACTGTAGTTCTTTAGATCTTACTAAAAAGAAATTGCTCAAGGAAGGAAAACAAGATCCAAAGTTTGATGCCTCAAGTTATTACCAAACTCAAATACTTCATTTTTTACCCCATTGCATAAGTAGTTGTATTCCAAATTTTCAGATGAGAGAAGTGAGGCTAACATCATAAGGCTAGAAAGTAGCCAGCCTTGGATTCAAACTTAGGTCTGTCAGACTCCAAAGCCCATACGCTTTCTAATTCTTTATGCTTCCTTAACTAGGGAATTGCCAGTGGAGATAGTAAAAAAGGGGAAACAAAAGCATTTCAGAGACTGCCCTTTGTGACAAATTGACCATCAATGAGGTCAATTTGAAAATGGAGAATGATGCAGACTCTTTACAGGGTTTGCAACATTAGCATATTCTAACATAGCTCAGGAATTTTACTCCAAGTGTTTGTGCCTTGTGGATAAGTGACAGTATGATGGGGAGTACAAAATATCATGTAATAAATTCTACTTTGCGCCTATTGAGTTAGACATAGCAGAACGGCATTGAATTGTAAATGTCCAGGAAGCCAATGGAGATATGAATTGGAGTAAAAGTCAGTATTAGAGAGGGAAATTTGGGATTCACCAGTGGTGAAAATCATAGATGAGGCAGTAAGAATGAAGGAATTTCCTTTGGTACAGGAAAGAGAATATGCCCTATCAGACACAGGGGTCTCAGATACCCAACAAGAACCAAGAAATGAAATGTATTGTATCCAAGTGCTTATTGCCCATCATCCCTCCCCAGATGTATGACTCAAGGCTACACACCTGGTCCATAAGGGAATTTCATCAGGCTTTATCTTAAATTTTCAGGCCCCGTATTAAATTGCCACACATGCTCCTTTATGAACGATCAAGGAAAATGTCTTCGTGGAGAAGGAGTATGCTCCACTCAGAATTCCCAGCAGTGCATGTTAAAGAAGATATTTGAAGGTATGTGGGAACTTCATGAGGCAATCTTTGCCAGAGAACACATTAACCAACCTGAGTCCTGATGAGGAGCAGTTGGGGTGGCAGGGACCTGAGAAGGATCAAGCTGTGATTCCCCAAAAACTTGGAGATTCAGAAGAACCTTATCCTTTCAAGAATTAAGAGTAGAATTCCAGCTACTGATAGAAAGGTAGAGGCCCTTTCCAATAGGTCTACAATGTCTTAAAAGGAGGCAGGTAGACTGGCTGTCTATTCCTGTTAAATGTGTGAGATGCCCCTTGAGCCATTAAGACATTGACTGTAAGCTTAGGACTGTGTCTATCTTGCTCATGGCTATATATTCCTAGCACTTAGCACAATGCGCAGAACATGGTAGGCATTTAGTAAATACTGAATAAATCAATAAACTAATAAACAATTGTCTATCAGTCTGTGTTCACAGTTTGCCAGACCTATCTGAGTACATTCTCACATGTCTCCACACTTATTCCTCATCCCCAAAATAAGGGATCTTAGTTACTTACATTCCATGAACCACACTGCCTGACTTCCCTTGTGGTTTGTCTGGTCCCTCTCTAAAGGGAGGGGGCAACTGATGGGGGAAGGGCCCAGAGGGGAGAGGGAAGAACAAGTTGGAGGTCTTGGTTGTGCCTATATGGGGACACTGGGGACCATCGATGAAGGCTAAAGCTGGAGGAGGAAGCCTTCCACTCACTGCAGTGTGTCTCTGATCCTTTCAGGTGGAAAACTCCAATTCATGGTTCAGGGGTGTGAGAACATGTGCCCATCTATGAACCTCTTCTCCCACGGAACCAGGATGCAAATTATATGCTGTCAGAATGAGTCATTCTGCAACAAGATCTAGAAGCCTGTACCCTTGCTTCCTGCTCTGACTCAGGCAGCAAAAATTCTCCATCACCTTACTGGGCTCAATTTATAGTTAGTTTTTTCCCCAGTCAACATCTGATCACATTTGCCTCTGCCTGAGTGTCAGACAGTATGCTCAAGTATCTTTTCTCCTCTATCCATGCTCTGTTACACATTCTTCTCTGTCCTCTGTCTTCTCTGTTCCCCAAACCCATCTCTCAACATTCTTTTCTTTTTTAATAAACACTGCATGGTTAAAGAATATAGACTCCAGACAGACTTCTTTTCCCATTGGCCAGTTTCAGGATCAGTTTGAGCTTGCTTCCACTCTACACACTGAAGTGGATGCATTTTTAAACCATTCCATATATGTCAAAGCGAAGGGGTCCACCAGGTCAGAGACCAGAAAGAGGAATGCAAAGTAGGGATTAACCTCTTCTGAGTTTAAACAATATTGTGAATCCTTCTTTCTGACCCCCCTCAACCTTTCCATCCCTATAGAAACCCCACCCCCTTCTACTTACCATAGTGTCCAAAACTCAAACCCTTCTTTGGCTCTTGAGAGTTTTCAGTCTTCAAGAGCCTACTCCTAAGTACTAAGTATAAGTATAACAAGAAAATGTCTCCTTTTTATTTATTTGCTAAATAAATATGTAGCAGGTCATAATGCTTAAATCTTTTCCTCACACACAGAGTTATTGGATCATCTCAGCATAGAGGGGAAGGCAGGTGAAAATACTGTAATAGTTCCTCTCACCTTGTATGAGTCTTATGTTCTTCAAGATGCATTCATATGCATGGTCTCATCTGATCCTCAGAAAAGAACCCAGAGAGGTAGCCAGGAAAGATAGCATCATCCTTATTTTATAAAGAAGGAAATAATGACAAACAGATGTTTTATTTATTCATACTCCATGTTATTCCAGACTCGCCAAGGTTACAGAGCTATTGTGAGCCAGGGCCAGATTTCAGAACCAAATCTGCATCTCAGTCTGAGCTCCTTCTACTACACTATGAATATGAGTCAGAATGGTTCTGTCGAGACCAAAATCAATCCTCTCCTCCTACACAAGCTCATCTCCTTTCAGCCATTGCTCCTCCATACCTGTTTAAAAGCTCCTCAGATCAGCTGGGTGGTCTTAACAGTGTCTTTTGAAGAGCAAAAGCCTTTAATTTTTATAAAATCCTATTTATCAATTTTTTCTTTTGTGGATAGGGCTTTTGATTTCATGCCTAAGAATTCCTAGAATAGTACACCAAGAAACAAATTCTACTATAGGTAAAGTTTCAAAATTATATAATACACAGACACACACATTATGGTCCCTCCCCACAAAACATATTGGTAACAGGCTCTTCACTGGCAATAACCGTAGACTGGAAGACAATGGAACTTATCTTCACATTTCTTTTCTTCTTTTAAGGACATTAACCCTTTATTTATTTTTATTTATCTATTTTTTGGTGAGGAAGATTGGCCCTGAGCTAACATCTGTAACCAATCTTCCTCTATTTTGTAGTGGGATGCTGCCACAGCATGGCTCAACGAGCAGTGTGTAGGTCCACACCTGGGATCCAAATCTGTGAACTGTGGGCTGCCAAAGTGGAGCATGCCAACTTACCCACTACACCACCAGCCCCTCTTTTTTTTTTTGTTTTAACAATCATTTATTAGTATCTTAGATTTCTCAGCATATAACTTTAATTTCCATTGTCTAAAACTCAATGACGCTTACATTCATATTTATTTTTTATACGGAATATTGAAATTGACAACACATTTAAAAGTTGCTTTTACTCTAATAGAGAAATACAAGCCACGGTTATTATTTTCACCCATGGATTTAAGCATGTAGGTATTTGCTTTGAACCAAATGAATGGACTGGGCACTCATTTCAGATGTGTATTTCCATGATGATTATAAACATAATCATGAGTGTGAACAGGGAAATAACTAGCATTTATAGAACATGTACTTTGTGCCATGCAATGAATTTAGCAGTTTTACCTATGCTCTCTTTTTTAATCCTGAAAAAAATCTTACAAAAATGTTAAGATTACAGGATCCTAATCAAGACAGACTGGAGAGTTTTGCCACAGCTGAAACAAATGGTGGCAGCCCAGAGACATTCAGGCTCCTTTTCAAATTTTGGAGTGAAAATTATTTTGAACATATAGTTGAATCCCTGGATAAACTGGCATTCAAAATTATAGGCCAAAAACCTGGAACTAAAATCCCAAATTCTCAACTTGAAATATAGTTTACCAGGGGGAAGGAAGAGAAATGAAATCCTACTAACAATATTGATACCTTTTTTTGAGGGAAGGGGATACATATTAGCTAAATCTATTAGCTATATATGTTGAGGAAACAACGTAAATTCAAATATGCTGTTAAAATTTAAGGGGAGGGGAGGTCTGACTTCCGTTAATGGTGAAATAGTTTGGTTGAACTAACCCTCCTTCAGATAACAATTATAAATTCTGGACAAAAAATAAGAATTAATTGAAAGTTCCTCAAAAGGGCCTGGAGAGAAGTCACACCTAAAAATATAGGAAGAGTGCTAAGTGAGATTTGCAGGTCTGTGGGTTTATTCCTGAGGGTACTTCTCAATCCACATATTACATGGTGGCAAAAATCTAGTTTACTGGTTTGAGGGTTCAGAGAATATAGATTGGGGCTGGCAGAGCAGCTGTAAAATTGGGAAGAAATCCTGGAAAGAAATGAGCCACAGAAGACCCAAAGCTTGAGTATAAACTGTGACCAAATTCTTGGCTGATCAATGACTCCACAGGTTCAACAACAATAGCAGCTGGAAGGTGAAAGAACTGAGTAGAGATTTTAGCTGCTGTCCACCTCAAAGATGGCAGAGTTTAGAGTTCAAATCAACCCAAGTTAATTCCCTACTGGAACAAAAGTCAACACTCTTCAGAGGAACATACAGAATCCAGAATATCTGTAAATGCATCATTTACAATGTCCACTATATAATAAAAAATTACTAGACATAGAAAAAACAGGAAATTATGACTTACAGACAAGGAAAAAAACCCAATACTGACCCCAAGATGAACCAGATGTTGGAATTAGTGAGCGAAAGTAATAAGCAACTGTCAGAGATATGTTCAAGAACCTAAAGGAAAAGTGTCATACTAATAAACAGTGAATCTCAACATAGAAACTAAAACTTCAAAAAAGAACCAATGGAAATTTTAGAACTGAAAAGTACAATAACTGAAAAAAATCACTAGGTGGTTTTAACAGTGTATTGGAGACCACATAAAAGATAGAAATTTGAAGATAGAGCAATAGAAATTAACCAATCTGAAAAACAGAGAAAAAAAATTTTTTTAATGAACAAAACCTTAATGACTCATGGGACAATACCAAGCAACGTAACACATAAGTAATTGGAATCCCAGAAGAATACGAAGAGATAATGAGACAGAAAAAGCATCAAAGAAATAATGGCCAAAATTTTCTCAAATTGGATGAAAAACATAAACTTATGCATCTAAGAAGCTCAGCAAACTGAAGGTAGGATAAATGTAAAGAAAAATACTTAGGCACACACTAGTCAAATTACTGAAAGATAAACAGAAAAACTCAAAATTGGTCCAAACAAAAGATACATTAAATAGGTACATAGGGGAACACTGATACAAATCTTGACTGACTCCTCATCGGAAACAATGGAGAGCAGAAAACAAAGGAACGATATGTTTAAAGCCATAAAAGAAAAAAAATCTGTCAGCCAAATGTTATTAATAAGACAATGATCCTTCAAAACTGAAGGTAACAAAGACATTTTCATATAACCAAAAACTAAGAAAACTCACAACTAACAGACCTGCACAACAAACGTTAAAGGAATTTCTTTGCACTAAAGGAAAAGGACACCAGATGGAAACTCTGATCTATAGGAAGAAATGTAAAGACCTAGAGATAGTAAATATGTAGGTAAATTTAAGACATGTATACTATTTCTTTTCCTGATTTTAAAAGCCAGGCCTGCTTAAAGCTAAAATTATTTTCATGTAGATATGATATATATGACAATAACAGCAAAAAGGATAGGAGAGCTAACTGGGACTACACTTTTGAAATATTCTTATTTTTAAGTGAAGTAGTGCAATACTAATGTTAATTCAACTGTGATAAAATATAGTAATCCTTACAGAAAAATCACTTTAGAAAATACAGAAAGATATAGCTAAAAAGCCAAGAAGAAAATTAAAATAAAATACTAAAAAACATTTGATTAACTCAAATAAAGGCAGAAAGGGAAGATCAAAAAAACAATAATTAGTTGGGCCAAACTGAAGTACCAAAATGGTAAACAAAAATCCAAATATCACTAATTGAGAAGGACACATCGTCATTACAGTGGTCTTCCTATCAAAAATGCATAACCTGAATCTAATTTTGTGAAATCAGACAAAACAAAATTTAGCGAAATTATCTGAAATAACTTGCCCATAATCTTCAAAAATGTCAAGGTGAAGAAATACAAAGAGGAAATTTCTAAATTAAAGGAGAATAAGAATATATGAAAACCATGCAAGATCCTAACTTAAACATAAGGCAACAGGAAAATTTTTTATAAAGAATATTATCAGGATAATTGACAAAATTTGAATATACACTACCAACTAAAGAACAGTATTATATCGGTGTTAAATTTCCTGATTTCTATAAACTAAACTAGGTTGTTTATGAGAAAGTCCTTATTCTTAGGAAATACATATTGAGTTATTCAGAGGAAAAATAACATCAATTAAGAATTAATCATTGGAAAGACTACTTGGACTAATCGTCACACTGAAAAAAATAACTAAAAATACTGGAAAATTTTAAAATATCTTAAAAGATCCAAAAAACTGGAGTGAGATCAGCATCATGGTGGAGTGAACTTGCCTGGGCCTCTCTCCCCTCCAACATACAACTAAAAGGGACATCCATAGTCCAACAGAAGACACACTAACAACACAGAAACCTTGGAGAGACAAGCAGCCGCATGACAGAGGGTGGATAGGCTGGAGTTCCCCTCGGAGGAGCTGGAACAGGGTAAGAGAGAACTTCACTCCCTTCCCTAAAGACTGCAATCGCTGCCGCGGGAGGATCCATGAGGGAAGGAGCAGGGTAGGGGTCGCTCGTTCACAGGATCACCCAGGACTCCCGAGGGCCCTTGCAGCCTAGAGGGAAGCCCTCTAACAGGGAGAAAGCTTTCACACGGGGTGACCTCATTAAGCCAAGACCCCAGGAGAGCAGATAGTGAGAAACTCCAGACTGCATGCAGGAGAAAGCAACCCTCTCCCTCCCACGACGCGCCATCTCGGCTGAGGGCAGAGGGCTCAGAACATGTGGCTCTTGATCTCCACTGTGTGGCGATAGGCTGTAACTGCAACCAAATAATATCAGAATGAGAAAGAGCCAACCTTCCAACATCAGACACTACATCTAATCTCCAGACTAGAGAGAAAATGACAAGCACCCAGAACTCAGTCCTGAGGACACAGAAATAGTTAAGCTAAACGACAATGAATTTAAAATAGCTATCATCAGGGGCTGGCCTTGTGGCCGAGTGGTTAAGTTTGCACGCTCCGCTGCAGGCAGCCCAGTGTTTCGTTGGTTCGAATCCTAGGTGCAGACATGGCACTGCTCATCAAACCACACTGAGGCAGCATCCCGCATGCCACAACTAGAAGGACCCACAATGAAAAATATACAACTATGTACTGGGGGGTTTGGGGAGAAAAAGGAAAAAAATAAAATCTTTAAAGAAAAAAAAAAGGGGCTGGCTCCATGACCGAGTGGTTAAGTTCGCATGCTTCGCTGCAGCGGCCCAGGGTTCGG